CGTGACATCAATTTTACAATGTGACACACTACTGTTGTAAGTAAAGTTACGGAATACCACTCCTAAGTAAGGGACAGAACATACGCCTAATCTTTTAGGGAAAGCAAAGTAAAAATATCGGACGTCTGATAGAACTATTAGCCCCACATTTGATAGGTTTAGTGAGTACGTAAGAAATACTAGACATCTAGTACAATGATCTAACTTAAGTCTTATTGGTCTGGTGAATCCGTTTAATAGTTTGAGTATATATCAGTATATATAAAAAAAAATAAAAATTGTTTAGTACTCACGATGGTTNTTCTCAAGTTTGCTAAAAATGTTGGTGCGTTATAGATTAATTTTTTTGCTACATCGGTTTTGCGTTCAGTATCCTCCTCATAGTATCAGTGGTGCGTCATTAGGATAAATTATCGTGTGGCAGAAAGATTTCGGATCGTAAAAATAAATTTATAGAAATGTTTAAAACGTTTATAGAAAGAACGAAGCTCTATAAACGTTAGTACTGCATTCATGTAGTTCACTAAACAAAAACTTGAAAAACGAATAAAAAAATAAAAAAAAAAAATAGTTCAGTACTCACGATGGTTGAACTTCGTGAGAACGTCGTGCATAAATACAGTACTCACGAAGTTAAACCATCGTGAGTACTAAACAATTTTTTTTTTTAATTTGTTTTTCAAGTTTTTGTTTTAGTAAAAAACATGAATGCAGTACTAACGTGTCCAGAGCTTCGTTCTTCCAGTGGGTCTGGCGACCCCCTTGTTACCTGAGAAATTGTGTGTATACTCATCTCATGTTTAAACAACTTCGTTCTTACCGTGGGTCCCATGACCCATTAATACCCCCTGGTTTGTTGTTTTAATTTCCTTTATAATTTTTTCCTTTAGTTAACAACATGAATGCAGTACTAACAATTACAGAGCTTCTTTCTTCCTGTGGGTCTAGCAACCCCTTTGTTACCTGAGAAATTGTGTGTATACTCATCTCATGTTTAAAGAACTTCGTTCTTACCGTAGGTCCCATGACCCATTAATACCCCCTGGTTTGTTGTTTTAATTTCCTTTATAATTTTTTTATTTGTTTTTTTTTTTNAAATTGAAAATAAGTGTCCATAAAAACCATTAAAATGAAATGAAACTCGAAATATATTTATATAATGATCTTACATAATTCATTTATGATTGATTTAATGAATTAATTTATTTATGTAATTATGTGATAATGTAACATAATTTGTTTGTGGAATTCCAAATAAGCGCCTTTTAAAACCATTGATACGTTCTGTAACTCCATTCTACATGTGTATATTTTTTTTTTTTCAGATGTATTATTTAGAAAACAAATACATAATTTATAAAACAAATACATAATTGAATATATTATCAGTGAATACATTTAAAAATAGAATGTTATAGTTACGAAACACACCATAAGTACAAGAAACTGAGTTCCTATAGTCGGCAGCGCTCGTAGCAGAGTGGGTAAGGTACTGGACTCGTATGCAGGAGGTCGAGGGTTCAAATCTCTTTATTGGAAAGTGCTTTTTTGATTCATTTATTTTATTTTATTTTTTCAGAATTCTAAAAGAAAAAATTTAAAGTGAAATAAAAATTATTGTGGGAAAATGAAATTGCTTGGGAGTGTGAGGGGGAATGGTGGATAAAGGTGTGCAGAAGAGTAACACGGCATGGTTGGCAGATATACATATATAGTGGGGAGAGGGGATGTGTATAGAGAACAGTAGGTGAGGGGGACGGGGTAAGGGGGGAAACTGGAGAGGAAGAGACTCGGAGTAAACCACTTAAGTTTCAAAAAAAGAAAATCTGTCGGTTTTAAAATTCCAGCTCCCCGAGTAACGCGACTTAAAGAACTTCGTTCTAAAAAAGGCATACACAAACTCAGTGAGCGAGTACTAGTATACGTAGGTTAGGTTGGACACTACAACTCTGATCACTCAATTTCGAGTAAAATGCTTATTACAATAGTTTCTTGAACCTACTTAAAAAAAAAAAAAAAAAAAAATTATCTATAGTTCATCATTTATGAAGAGAAGTGAAGTAGATGATAAAAAGCGGTAGATGCAGCAGTTGACTTTCGTTGCTTGCTTAGTGCACCTGCGATGTACTTCGTTACTTTTAAATTTTTGTTCAAAAGAATGTCTTATTGCCTAATGAATACAGACGCTCCGTTTTTACCTCTCCATCTAGTTCCGTTTTTTTTAGGAGACTCTTGTTACTTTGTACACGAATTACTTAATTACCTCTCTTTATTTTGATACTTTCGTTAACAGTACGATTTTTCAATTTAGTATACATTTATACGTTAATCTAATAAAGGTTAACGATTGTGATTATTGAGAATGAATAAAAGTAATTAAAATTGTTTTGAGTATCGTGCCTCTATTTAATAAAATCTAAGTTCCAATAAGACTCGAGTCTCCTTATTAAAGAAAAACTACTTGATTAATCATTTTCTAATTTTGTAACGCATACAATCTGGTTTTTTCACTCAGATTCCGACCTCGCTAATGTTTTACAGTCCAATCAAAGACAATTAATTATTATTCATAGATCTTGTGCGAGTCAATCACGACTCGTGCGGGAAATCGTCTTTTCCGCACTTGTTACATAAATAACTAAAGGCATAAGCCTACAGCCAACTGGGGCTTTAGAATCACCGGGATTCTTAATTGTTTTCTAAATTGTTTGATCAAAATGCGTAAAGTCTGTTGCTTTTGTACACTGAAAAATAACATATTACTGATCCTTGCACATTAAGAATTTGAACTTGATAGATCAGGTGTTTTAGACTGATTTTCTGAATTTCCTGACTTTCAACAGCGATTTACTCAAAATTTCTCCGCAAGACTTCCTACTCTAACTTTGGATTCGCAATCAGCACTAAAATATACGTAAGAAAACATGTTTCACATGCCCAACTCAGAAAAATTTTNACCTACCTACTTCACAAAAGTTTTTAGTTAAAATCACTATTGTCTTAATTTCTTAAATTTAATTAACGAGGTGGAATTATTTGCGAACATTACTGTCAAATTCATCAATGTCTCCATGTGTTGCTTTATCTGTCCTATACCTTGAGGCAGTTTTTCTTAAATCAAATTATAAATTTTATCACTTAACAATTATGTATAATTATTGAAAGTTGTTAAAAAACAGTGTTGGAATTTGAACACGACTTCACTGAAGATTTTAAAATATAGTGTTTACCGTTTTCTAGGAATAAAGGATGATTTTACATTCTTACATCATTTTTATTTTAATAATTAAGAAAAAATGAACATTATTTGAATGAAGATTAATACTCACATTAGAGTTTAAATTATAACCATGAATATAAGATCATCATTATCACATTACACAAAAGTATATTTTACAACAAGAGAAGAAAGTACGGTATTCTCTTTTGGGTCTGAGTTGTAACCCAGGGGATGATCGCATACTTTCTTTTCGTAGACTGTATACACAAATTTTGCAGGGGCGTTGGGGGACTTCATAGAGGTGGTAAGGGGTTTCATGACGAAATGAAATTTTTAAAATTAACAAATAAATACATCAAATTTTTCCTTATTTTGAAGGAGGTTACTTGGGAAGATGAAATGTGGTGACGACGGGCTTTTGTGAAATGGTCCTAATAAATAACTGCATAGAGATGTATGTGTGTAGACATACTTGTATAGAACATGTATATATACATGTCTAGTATTTTGTCATTTTTAACCCACGCAACCATGGTTTTTTGAGTGAATTGGAAGTACAGGTTTTTTTTTATAAGACCGTCATACTATGTCCGTATGGTGATTGGATGCGGTTAGTACTTACGTGCATTTAACTGTTATTAACTTAAAACTACTTTCATAAATTACATGGTAAAAGGTTTATACTGTCAGATCCTTTAAGAAGGCCATGTATGATTCCTACTAATATTCTAACATATAACATGAATATTCAACTATTAATCTATAAATGCACGTGGAATTATTCATTATATTATTTAAGGTCACTAAAACTTACTATGTAGCGCACTAAACTTGAGGTTATAAATATGTAACTTACGTAACTTATATAAACGGACTTTATGAGAAAAAATTACTTAATAAGTTTCTAAGTAATGAGAACATGCATCATATACTTTACTTAGTTTTTAGGTTATAAGAGCCTGTCACAAGTAATTCACTCGATTCTTAGGTTAAAATCCTACGTCACGTAATCAACATAGTTTTGAGGTCATTAATATTTTGACTATGTAGTCCGCCTACACTTCTGGTAGAAGCTTTTTTTATTTACAGCATTATCAGTAAAGAACATGCCAACTAAGCGCATTTAGTTATGAGATAAAAAATTATTTTCTTAGTCATTTGTCATACAAAAATCACAAGTAAATGCACTAAAAACAATATTATTAATTCTACAGTAGCAATTTTGTTTTGTTAATATTATTTCTTTCTTAATATTAAAGTAACAATTCAGTGCATTTGGTTTAACTATTAAAAAAGTTTTTAATAGTATTTAATGCATTATTGATTGAGAAAGTAGTAAGTAAGCATACTGGGTTATTGAATAAATAGCGATTTTTATCAATGCAAGAAACCGTTACAATATGCGTCGTAATACGCATAGCATTTCAATGTATGATGATATACAGTATTTACAGTCTGTATTTGTGTCAAAACAGATATAGCTCAAGGTACTATTTGATACTCTGTTTGTAAGACACAGCAGTTGTACCATCTTTACGATTCAACAGACAATCAGTAGGAGTGATACGGTAGATGTACCACTTCAGAGTATTTTGTAATTCTCTCGCCACCTCATTAGAGTATCGGCTGATTCTATATGCAATTGTGTTAAGTTGTTTCTAAAAATCTAATTAAGAGTGTTTACTTCATGAAATGAACACAAAAGTAGGGTAACCAATGAGTAAGCTACTAAATTATTTATATCAGGAATATCATAGGAGGTAAATTTATTTCAACATACTTTGATATTGTTTGTCTTCATGGTTTTCATCGTAGGTTTTTTTTTTCGGTATGCATAATTGCACTTCACTAAGGTAGACAAATATAACTGTGATTGATTAGTTACACAGAAATCAACTTTTTTCCTGAAACAAAACGTAAATTTTTTTTAAATCAAAACGCAAATGAATTATAAATGCAAATAACTAAAATTAAAAAAAATTTCTTGTAATAGTAATCTACATGTTTGGCATTATTCTAATTGAGCCACAAAATAGTAACAGAACCGTTGGCTATTGTTAAAGTAAATATTGACCTTGTTTTTTTATTTTATATTATTTTTTTTGTAAATTACGTTGGATTTACAAGGAAGGTACCCTAACCCCAACTCACCGATTTCAATGATCTTGATGTATGCTGTAGAACATCAAAAAATAAGAGACACGTATTTTTTTTTATTGTCAGAAAAACGTATTAAGAGGGTGAAAATTACCCCTAAAAGTTACTCTTAAAAACAGTTTTTTCTAAATATCTCGAGTTCTGCTGAATATTTTTCAACGAAACAAAATGGTAATTATTTGTTATAAAATAAGTCANGAACCCAGATAAGTCTAATTACGCTGTACAACGTGTTATCATGATATTATTAATGGATTTAAGATTCTTGTGTCAGTATTGTAACGTACATGTATTTGTGTGCAATTATAAACGATTTTTCATTGGAAAAACATAAAATTTATTGTCAAGTAGCATCCAAACAACTTGACAACTAGAATAGGGTCTGAGGATCGATCAATCGAAGTTTCACATCGATAAATTAGTTACAAAGAACTATCATCCAGGATGCATGTATAACTACAGTATACGTATTGTATTTGTTATTAATTTTTTTGTAGCGACAACCGTTTCGAGTAAATTAAATTAGTGATATGACAGCACTAAGTGAAGCAGCGTTTTATATTCACGAGATAATAAAATATGACTTGAGAGAATTTATTTTGTAATTTGTTCCCCGTACTCCGTGTGTGGTAAGTGAAATTATACTTTTACTTAGTAATACATGCTTTGGTTGGTAGTGGAAAAGCCTGCATCGTAAAATTTTTATTAGGTAAAATAAAAAACTCGTAACAGATAACATCGTACATGTACATCTTTCGAGATCTCTTCAAAATTTGGTTAAAAAATGTTTTTTACCTCATTCAGTTGTTGAACCTCATTCAATTTTATTAACAGATTCTTGGAGTGGCCATCGCGAAAAAAGTGTTAAAGAAACACTACCAAAAAATATAAATTGTAAATGTAAAAAAAATTCTAACTGGAACCACAGAAAAAATTCAACTAGTAGATGTATTCGAATTCCGTACTTGGAAAAATTATGTTCATCATTTTTCAGACAATGTACTATTAATGAATTATGATATGAAACTACATTAGAGAAATAGTATTTTTAAACTACAATCACTAGTACATAACCAATTTTCGTCGCCATAATACACAGAATTTTTCAAATACTCATGGTTTAAAGCCGGCTTCATTGATAAAAGACCTGACAATTTTGAAAACCCAGTTGATATTAGTTATGGAGATTTATGCCAAAGTCATTGTGATTTATGTAATAACGTAGCAATAATCAGATTTAGTTGGTGTAACAAATCGCTATGTTTTAAGCACTTCTTTGAGGAATATCATTAATGTTCGAATAATATTAAATAAAAATCTTATTACAGTAATAATAATTTTTTTAAGCAGAAAGCAGCCTTCTGTGTTTCGAAATTAGGAGTTGTTAAATTTCCAAACATGTGAAAAAGAATGATACTTTTGATTGAATCATATAAAATGCTAGCACGGATACCCTCTTTTTTTCTTGGAAAAACAAAGAATTCATTAATAATAAACTGTTAAGTTAAAAAAAATTGAGATATCAACAAGTCCGATCTTCTAGCGTAGATTTCCTACATCTTTAATATTGTTTTTCACCATGTTGAACCTGCGATCCTGAATTAAAAACAATTCATAAAAGGTTCGTGATCAGCAGCCTCAAAAAGCCGCTAAAAAAGTTTTTTAAAAGAAATAAAAAGTTTTTCCGGAATATTTCTCCACTATATTGGATATGCCGTAGTGAAATTCTAAAAACTAATAATAAATTTTTAAAAAGCGACCTCGAACACCCTTGCATCTGAATCCTGCAGAAAGTTGGATCTATTGAAAAGAATATTCTTTTACTTTTCATGTTAGNTTAAGTATTGATTCTGTGAAAAATTCCGGAAAAATGTGTTTTCAATCCTTAAAAAGTAGAAGATGCATTTTTTTGGTTAAATTTTTCACAGATGTATGACTTATTTTATAACAAATAACTACCATTTTGTTTCATTGAAAAATATTGAGCAGAACTCCAGAAAAAAAATCCCAGAAAAATGTGTTTTCAACTCTTAAAAAGTAGGGGATGCATTTTTTTGGTTAAATTTTTAACAAGTGTATGACTTATTTTACAACAAATAACTACCATTTTGTTTCATTGAAAAATATTGAGCAGAACTCGAGATATTTAGAAAAAACTGTTTTCAGGGGTAAACTTCAGGGGTGATTTTCACCCTCTTAATATATTTTTCCGAGAATAAAAAAAAAGGACGAGTGTCTTATTTTTTTAAGCTCTGCAACATATATCAAGATCATTAAAATCGGTGAGTTAGGGTTGGAGTACCTTCCTTGTTAGTACAAGTTAAAAAACAAAAAGACTAACAATTAATAAATATGTAACAAAAATAAGTCTTATTTCATTAAAAATACCTGAAAAATATAGACGACTAAACTTATTTGAAAAAATATAACAAACATAAAGAACAGTAGTTGAAAATTTTAGTAGTGTTGGCCAGGTCATCTTGATATCACTCTACATCTTAGACGTCACACTGTTACATCCCAACTTTCAAGCAACGTGCAGAACTTATAGATTCATTTTACAAACAAATAAATTCAACTTGTTTATCAGGAATCAGTCGTCACAGAGAGATTCTGATTCAACAATTTTATTTCAAAATTATAGTAAGGCTTTACTAGCCTTGTATTACTAGCTGACTTAACATATATATTCTTAAAAAACAGAAGCACCGCATTTTTTTGGTTTTAAGAAGGCTCTTTACAGGAAAACTTATTAGAGTATTAATGATCATGGTCATATTTCTTCAAACCATCAACGAAGGTACATCGACTAATCTCTTGCTCAGGATCTCGATCTGATCAAAAAATATTTGTCGGCTCTACATTTTTTTATAATCTATTCGAAATTTCGTGCGCTTGCAGCACAGTACAGGTGGAAGAAAACCTAACTATTGAAAATATGCCGTTTTATTTTTTATATCAATAGAAATCTATTAGAAAAATTGTGTCATTTTTGCAATACGTGTTGAGCCCCCTTTATACTCTTGTTAAGTGGTTCGCGTTGTGCCAAAATTATAATTTACCGAGTGATAAAAGTAACGAAAAAATTTGTTGCCGAATATAGTTTACAGACATCAAAATGAATCGAAAAGTAGTGAGCCGTAAAATAATTTACTTTAAAACACGTCATGTTTTCGGCAACATCATTTCTGCATAATGGTTTTTGGTCAAGGGTACTACAAGAAATTTTATTTACGCAGTTTGAGCAATAAAATTAGGTTGTTAGTATCTTTCTCTCGTCCGGATGAACCCAGATAAGTCTAATTACGCTGTACAACGTGTTATCATGATATTATTAATGGATTTAAGATTCTTGTGTCAGTATTGTAACGTACATGTATTTGTGTGCAATTATAAACGATTTTTCATTGGAAAAACATAAAATTTATTGTCAAGTAGCATCCAAACAACTTGACAACTAGAATAGGGTCTGAGGATCGATCAATCGAAGTTTCACATCGATAAATTAGTTACAAAGAACTATCATCCAGGATGCATGTATAACTACAGTATACGTATTGTATTTGTTATTAATTTTTTTGTAGCGACAACCGTTTCGAGTAAATTAAATTAGTGATATGACAGCACTAAGTGAAGCAGCGTTTTATATTCACGAGATAATAAAATATGACTTGAGAGAATTTATTTTGTAATTTGTTCCCCGTACTCCGTGTGTGGTAAGTGAAATTATACTTTTACTTAGTAATACATGCTTTGGTTGGTAGTGGAAAAGCCTGCATCGTAAAATTTTTATTAGGTAAAATAAAAAACTCGTAACAGATAACATCGTACATGTACATCTTGAAAAACGATTTCTTAAATTACTGTGACCTTAGAAAGTGATAACTTATTTATTTTAACAACATTGGTGGAAATCTTTTATTAATTTTTTTTTTTTTTTTTTTTCATCATGAACTAAATCATTATAATTTAACATTTATATGGTAACGATGAATTCGTGGTTACGAAAAATGTGTAATTTGTATAAGCTGAATAATAGGGATGAAGATACAAGTACATATTAGGATTAATAGTACATTACGCACCTAGTGAGCGAGACTAAGAATTTTGCAGATGTCACATGAGTAAACGGTTGATGTTACATTTAGGGCATTTCTCAACCTCTGAACATGGTGCATATACGATTTTACGTCTCCTGATGTCCAGTGGGTAAGAATGCTCGCCTACATAGCGGGCTGCAATTGTCACGTAACGAGTGCCAGGGACGTGAAAATACTTGCATACGCGTCCAGGAATGTTGATTAATAAAATTCTCACATAGTAACCTCTTCTGTTTTTAACGAGAGTAATAACCTCTGTTTTTGAGTTTAATTTGAAATCATGCAACTGAAAATAGAAGGCGCTGCCAGGAGCGAAGGATTTCCAGTACATAGATACAGCTCCTTAGATTAAGTAGCCTGCACTTTCTGTGATATTTCTTGCCACGCTCATGTTTGCATTGTATTTTAAACATGAAATCTCTTAAACGATTTATTGAATAACAATCAGCGATTCAGACAAAATATTTAACAAATGTTGATGCAAGGAACAAGTCAATATATAAACTTTATGTGAAAGAATCATAGTATTTTTCAGTTTTTGCACTATAAACTATTCGTGAAATTCGGTTGTTTCCCATTTTAAGTAACCCTTGAAACGTTTTACTCTTACATATGACAAGGCACTACATCATCGAGGCACGAGCAAC